AATCCTTCCTTGACCGTAACCGACTCCCGAACCCGACACATTTATGGTAAAAACGCAGATCAGGAAAGATGGTATCCGGCCCACCTAAATTCATTTTAAAGTGGTCGGTGGCGACTCCAATCCATTTCCCTAAGTCGAAGCCCAATCCCGGGGCCTAACCGAAAGACGGTTGCGACAATTATTTATTAAAAATCTAATTGAACTAAATATATGTCAAGGCTATAATGTTAACCCTAAATTAAATTTTAATAAATTTCATTACAGCTGAATGGAAAATTCTACAACGCACGTAGCATACTGAAACATACCATTAATGTGACACACCGATGCACACCACTAATTAAATTATTATTGTTAAATAATATATAAAAATATAATGATATATAATTAACCGTTTCTTACTATCTAGTTTAAAATTTAATAATAATATAATTAAATTATTTTATTTTATTAAAAATTATACTTATTTTAGGAATTTTTATTTTTTTAGGATTGAAACACTTAATTTATATAAATTTACATATTCATCTCAACAATAACCATTAAAACCAACCGTTGACGACCTTATCATCAAATAATGTATTACGTCCAGCAATGAAAAATAATATATTATTTTCAAATCTATGTAATTTCGATATTATAGTATTCTTATTTTTTTGATATGTTTTATTGATTGTGTTCTTTAATGTTTTTCATATCAATGTTCTTATTTTTAATCTTATTTATTTTACTGGCATTTATCCAACAATTTTATTATCTTTTGATTTTCAAATTTGCCTTATGGGTTGTTTTTGTTTTTGGGTTTGCTTTGTTGTTTTGAGATTTTGTAAGTTCTCAAGTTGCTAATGCAACTATTGAATGAGCTATTTTTATCAAGGGAAAAGCTCTCATTGATACAATAAGCGACGATTTTATTTGTGCTACTTTGGATTGGTGGCCTCCTCAAAAGTGTGATTATGATACATGTAGTTAGAGTCTTGTTGGTCTTCTCAATTTGGTAATCTATTTGGTTTTGGTGTTCAGATGATGTACTCCACATTGTGTTTTTTCTCAGTTTTTGGATCATTTCATACTTTAGAAATAGTATTTATGTGCAATTTAGAAAGTTTATTTCTCAGTTTAAAAGTGATTGTTGAGATGTTCTTTCATCTTCCATTATTTTTACAGGTCCCTAGTAAAAATACTTCTTGAATGTCATAAAGATAAGTCAATTCCTTTTCATTCGGAGGATATTTTTTAATTGCTAATGCTTCTTGAATGTCATAAAGATAAGCCAATTATTTATTGGTCCCTATAATTTTTTAGCTTTTTAACCATTAAAGATCAAATTGAGAGACTCCTTACATGATTTTTCGATTATGAATAAGGCTGTTGGCGATTGGTTTATATGGTTGTTGTTTGGATGAATATACAAATTTATATAAATTAAGTTTTTTATATAAATAATGATGAACAATTCTAAAATAATTATATTTGTAAAAAATACAATTAAATTATATTCCTGTTAAAATTTAAACTAAATAATAATAAAGGATGAATTGTGGATATGCCATTATATTTTTTTCATATTTATTTAATAAAGAAAATCAAATTAAAAAAATAATGGATTTTTGAAAAACTAACTTGAGAACTTGAATAATAAAAAATGATTAAAAAAACAAAAATATTAATATAAATTAAAGTAAAATTGAAAAGTTAAATATAAAAACTAAAGCATAATAAAAAGAAACATACCAAACAAATGTAATTATTTAATTGCTTATTATATTTTATTATTATTTACCCTGAGCCCCAAACTCACAACTCGGGCCTACTAACCTTCACCGTAATATATTTAAAATTACATTTACAATAAAACTCATACTTGTTGAAACCCAAACCAAACTAATCAGCTACCCAATACATATCATTACAACTCATATACCCAGTACAATTTAATTTACCCTAAGGCCCAATAACCATCGGCTCAATACATTTCCATAAAACCAATATAACCAGTATATATCCACAAAACCTATATACCCGATACATATCCAGGTGTTTCCAGATATTCCTACGCGTGAACCTCACGCGAGAAGCCTAAGTACTTCACGTTCACAATAGATGTCACGCGCCATATTAGCTTTCAGTTTCACCATGCCCCTTACACGCCAGCAAATCCACCATGCTCCTTCGGCGTGAAAACCACGTGCTGACGAAACACGCTATAACACGGCAAATGGAAAACATCTTGAAGCAATTTTGGAAATATTCTCAAATCGCAATCAGCACCAGATCAACAAGAGCAACAAAATCGATCAAAAGAAATGTGTTCCTTTTTAACATGCAAGACAAGCAAAACATGGCAACCGAAATAACACGCGAATTCAAATCTGAACCAAAATGGGAAAATATTACCTTTTCATCCTCGACTAGCTCACAAAACTGCAAGTACTTCTCCCTAAAATAGAAAAACCATAACAGAATAAGAAAAGCAAAACAAACTCAACTAGAACCTTTTGCTCAAGGTTCATGCATTCGATCTTCAAAAATCTCTCTTAAGATATTGTTCATTTTCAGTCTCACTTGAGACAATATCAGATTTCAAAAACACAGATTCGATCGGATGAAAAATCATTGTCTCTTCGTCTTTGTCATATTCTTATTAACACAAGAATAAACAAAGAGTGACAGTTGTCGACACCCTTTTTCATCCAGAGACCGTTATTATTATTATTAATATTATTATTATTATATTTTATTTACAAGTCAAATTACAACAAACTCTTCTCCAATTACAAGTGACCTAACTATTAAGCCCAACAATTGAAAACCCTAATGGCTCATTATGTTACAACTTTGACTAACCCTAATTTTAGGATTAACTATATGCCATCGCCGCCACCCAAAAAATGAAGAGCATGCCGATGTTGTTAAAAAACCCAACCAAAAAGCAAACTGCACCGATCGTCGGAGTCACCAAGTTTAGTCGGATCAAATCTTAACAAAATATGAGGCATTTAATGCTTGACCAAATGTGAGATGATCATTCTATTGTTAGAGAGGATGAGGTAATTGTTGTTACCGAATTTTAGAAGTATTATAACTTCCTATGTTGGAAATACATCTTGAATGTATTATCAGATACATAATATAAGGTGTACAATTGAACCATAGATACGAAACGGAAGATGTTGATACTAATGAATTATTAGTGACCAAGTTCTTAAACTTTGTAATAATGACAAACGAGGGAGAAGAAATACTTTATTATCTCCATTGATGATAGCAAAAGTATTTCTGTGTATTTGCTAAAAGAGAAAAACAAAGTTATAGAAAAAATTATTTTCTATAAACATGAAGTTGAAAATCAAATTAATAAATAGAATAAGATGGTAAGAAGTGTGCACAACATGATATTACTCATGAAATGATATCACTATATTCTCATAAAATAAATGGAGTAGCAAAGCGAAAGATTTGAACAACAAACGCAATGCTAATAAGTTATGAGTTGTCACAGAATATGTGAAGAAGAGAGAAGTTCTTCTGTCAACTAATTATCTTTTAAATAAAGTCTCCAGGAAAGAAAAGGGACAAGACACCATATGTGTTATGAAAAGGTTGAAAACATATGCCATACAAAGACTTGGAAATATGAGGGGTGTCTTTGAAAGGTATCTATCAGATTACCAAAACAAATGAAAATAAATCCTAAACAATAGATTGTATTTTCTTTGACTATCATATTCTTAGAATAATAGATTGATGCTAGTTGGAATTTGATATTAAATATGTCAAAGACACTGGAAAGAAAAATTGTGTCATGAAAATCCTTAAGAAAAATGTTATAACCAGATTCGTAGTGGATTCTATGTTTGTAGCTCTAGATAAGTCTGGAGACTAAGCTGAATTGTAACACCCCTGACTGGTACCCGACCCGAATACGAATATGAGATGTCGCATTGACTTTTCAAAGCTTTGACTCTATAAAAATATAATTAAAATTTTGAATTGTTACTTTTATTCTAATGGTGAACCCCTCAATAACACTAATTATAATAAAAAAATTAAACAGTGAAAACAAATATTTACTATATTTACATAAATGTTAATTTATATAGTTATAAAACAGATCAGAGCTTTTGCGATTTAAACATTTAAAGTATATACCAACAAAAGTGCAAAATAACAAAACCACCTACTCTTCAAATCGATATAATCTGATCTTCTCCAAAGTGTATGCTATCCAAAGTGCAAATATATTGTAGTTTAAAGAAAAATGTTATTGTTCAAATCTTAAAGACAGTAGTATTAAGCATGAAATATATTATTTACAGGCAGAATTCTGGATGGTTGGAAAAGTGTGGATATGCATGGGGTGGTTGGTACCCTCCTCTCGTCCTTGCAAACAATACCTTGTCTTGTTAGGCGAACAAAATGTTCCACCTGTAACAATATTCATTTTTTATGTTCTTCTAACTCTACTCTACTCTACTCATCAAGCTGCTATGTATTAAACATATTACTTGCGCTGAGAGACATGACTATGAAAGAGGGTCTTATACTGATCCATTCCCATCTTTGGTTTTGGGCTTAATATACTTGATGTTGGTGTTTTCTTGAGGGAGGCCCATAATAACCACAAAAGAGCTCCAAACACTGGCTGTCAACTCGGTCAAAACAAATCCCATACTCCTCCATTGCTTCTCATCCCATTCAGGGCAACTATAACCTTATCCATCTCTGTCTAGTTTTTGAAAATGTTATTTCAGTTTTATACATCAACAAACAATGCCTCCTTTTATTCACAAATCTATTATCACATTTTACTTATTGCATTCAAAGTACCGGCTTAACCCATCTCGTGATGAGGCATTTTATTAATGTAATGTTTGGTTTGGCTGAAAGTGACCAAATTAAACATTTGATGCTTCATGGCTAACAACAAAAACAACAAAACATGTTTCTTCTGCTAAATATGTTATAAAGGAAACATGGCATGATACAAATACCAGCCTTATTACATGCCACTCTCTATTCTAGCTTTAGATAAGAATACTACTCATCCTTGGATCTCTTCTCTCCTTCCTCCAACATCTCAATTTTCTTGTTATACTTACAAATGCTGTGGATACACCTGCACAAGCATCCTTCCCAATTTATCTCACAATTTAAATACAACTTAAAATATCTTTCTCAGAATGATGTAGCTAGCACGTACCAGTAAAGCAAGGTTGCGGTTACGCACAATATTACATTCCTTTGAGCTTTGTAGATCTGCAGCAAACCACCCCAAACTCAATCAAGATTTAGGTCTAACCAGCTTTATAAGAAGTAATTGAGTGGTTAATTAATTAACTGGTCATAAAAAAAGGTCTAACCAACTTATGAGAAGTACTAAAGCCCAAAAGCAGGGCAACCCTTGTGTGTATCCCAGCTCAAAAGACTTTATGTCTGGAGCAATTTATCCCTGACTTGTTGAAGAGCACATAGTGTTTGAACCCCCACAGTAGACTTTTTGAACTGAGGAACATTAAATTCTTTAACATCACTAATCCAATTATCCAAGTGGCAACATGAGATCTAATTTTGTTTCCTAAGGCAAACAAGTTCCCATTGATTAATTCATTCCTTCAACAAGGTATAAAACAAATATGGACTATTTGGCAAGGTAATTCTCCAAATGCCAATCCCTGTCTTTGGGTTGAAATTTTGGGCCAGTCAAATTAGCTAAAAGAAACTAGAAAGCAGGTATGGGGATATCTTGTACTTTACATAAAAATATTCTCTACTTGATTTTCCTCTTAATCAGAAAACATTACCTCTTCCTCTATTTATGTTTTCCATGAGCAATCTATTTATAACTAGTGTTAACTCCTTTATATTTTGAAAGTACCAGTGTTAAATCTTCATTGTTATATTTCTTTCAAAAAGAATAAAGTACTCTTGCTTAAATAACTTTGAACAAAAACATACTATGAAAGGGAAGCGATTTGGTCATTTTTTTTAATCTTGGTCAAAATACAAATGGTGGTCTGCTATATTCTTTAGGAGCCTCTTCCGTTTCAGCACTAATTGTTGGCAAAGGCTACTGGGCAAGTCGGTACGCACTGTTATTATTGGGTTATTGCTATATTTCATAGACCACAAAGATAGAGGTAAATAAAAGAGGAACCAAGCACAAATGTTTCGTTTCAATTCTCAATAACCAAACACCAGTTAGAAGTGCCACAAATAAATAAATAAAATATTCAAAATATCGCCCACCAACATCAATAAATGAATTAAGCCATTATGCAGGTAAAGCCATGGGATCACAATATATGGCCAGAAAAATGCAAAACAGAAATGCACTGAAAACCACATTATAGAATAACAGTAACGTAAAAGATGAAGCTGAGACATTAACAAGAGTAAGAGGAACCTAGAATTTTTACTACGGATATATTCGACAAACAAACCAATCAATGACTTAAAGGCTAGCAATAATTCATAATCAGATATCAAAGCTGGAATTATATAACACTTACAGATTTGTCGTGACGATCTCTCTCGTCAACAGTGCAGATCTCAGCGGTACACTCCAAGCGGTGTTCATTCTTCCAGTAGATGTCTGCAAGCGAAAGAAACGAAAAGCTAAAGATTTGTTTCAGCAAACATTGAAAAGAAGAAAGGAAATGTAATAGAGAGGGAAAACCTAAGAGATGGAATCCGCTAAAGGGAACAATAAAGAGGGCAGGCTGCACAACGAGAGAGAAGAGAGACACCAAACGTCTCTTCAACATCTTGGGATAGGGAAGGGTCAAGAGAAGAGCCACCACCGCCTCCGAAGCCACTACGTACGTTAGAATCACCCACTGCAACGCCATTCTTAATATTTTTTCCCTTTTCTTCTTTCTCGTATTTCCGCCTGCGCTTTTTATGTTGAAGGAAGGAGACGCTTAATAATTCTTCATCTTTTCTATTTCACCTTCCTGGCCGTTGGATTTCAAAATGCTAGATCGACCACTATCCAAATTCAAACCACCCAAGATTTGTCGTTGAGATTTTTTTTCCTTCAAAAATATAAGTTTAGTTAGAAAAAAAATTGATATTAGTCCCTCTACTATGCATTGGTTACAAATTTACTTTATAAATTAATTGAATAATTTAAGTTCAATATCTTTTAAAATTTAGAAGTTTTAGTTTCCATCATTATATTTGTTAAATCAAATTTGACTATTACTATATATACAATGTTTGCGGATTTAATTTTATTTTTTTAGCATGAACCGATTTATCTTATTAGTTAAAGGAATTGCTATTGTTCCTAGAAATTACGGCTTCAAATATCAACGGCTGCAGCAGTGCGATTAAGTGTTCATTGTCAAATATTTGAAAATATTTAAAATAAATATTACTTTATAATCACTTTAGCTTAATAAAAAAATATTTTTCTAATTTATATTTATAATCTCTTTATTATATTATAAACCTCCTATATTATTAAGAGAAGTAATCATAAATCTAGAATACTACCATGAAATAAACATGAAAAATATAATATATATGAAATAAAATTTATCGATATAACGTAAAATTTTTTATTTTTATAATTTTTTAGATTGTTAGATCAGCAAAAATGAAGGCTTTAAATTAATATTAAAAAAATAAAGATACTTGTATAAAAATGAATGTATATATATCAATTGAGACTTGAGACAGTCCAAGTACTTTAGAGTTTGAATTTTGAATATTCAAATACCCCAGTCGAAACACGACCGTTGAAAGGTAACAAAACTGTGAAACCCAATATAGGAGCCTTGTTTAAGCTGACTGGTCAGTGATTTGGAGAAGAATTGAAATTGCAAGCCACATCCAGTATTAGGTTCAACAGAGGAAGTGAGATTTCAGAAAGCAAATGGGGAAGCTTAGAGCCAAATCCGACTATGAAAGTCTAAGGAATGCTCGCATCTTAGAGAACCAGGTAGCTCCTACACAGGCTCTTTTCATATCATTCACTTTCTCTTTCATATTTCTTTAATGGACAGTGAAATCCTATACAGACTCGATTAGCCTCCCTCGGAGTGCAGAAAACCATCTCCGACCTAAGGTCTTCTGCAAAACCAAAGAAAGAGGTCCGAAAATGTGAGAAGAAAGAGTGCGATAACACGCCTGTGCACCGCTCAATTCGTTTCAAAGGACCCGCTACCAATTCTTTGCGTAGATCTAAGCGGCTCACAGGTAATAAAAAAATCCAGGAAGAAGGGAGTAAATTTTTTTCCAGCCAAGGGAAAGAAAAAGGGCCTGCAGTGATATTAAATGATGCGGCTTATCAATTATCGCCACACGACTCTGCACGGCGTTGCCGTGGTAAGGAAGGGAGGTGCAGTGTTTACAATCCTGTGTTTGGAATTTGCTGCCATTTCTGCAGGTTTTTTTTCTCTTCTACCACTTCTATTAGCCAACGGGATAGGAATGTATTTAAATAATTAAGCAAGAAATAGGCAGAATTTGTGCTCAATAATAGCTATTTTTTTGGGAAGACCTATACTATCTACACCACTAAATTACTCATAAATAGATTGCATATTACATCAACCGAATTAAATTCAATCCACATATAATCTTCTAAAAAAATCACACTTCCTTTTGAACATCTGAATCATTGAAACTTGTTTTTGATATGATTTTGGGTTAAACTTGTATAATGTCACTCTAGCTATGGTGTTCTGAGTCGGCCTTGTCTCAAGGTTAGATATGGTGAAGGTAAGATCAATATTATTAATAGGTCATCCTGTTACTTTTATTTATTTTTTAAATTGGCTTAATATAATCTAATTCTTACTTTGTCCCGTTATCCCATTGGTATTTTCAATTAAAATATCACTTGGACTAATTAAAAATCTCATTGTGCCATGGAAATATAAAAATAAAACAAAATTTTAACCAGAACTAGAGGAGGTAAGAGAAAATAAGGAATGGATGTGCCCTCACTGCATAGAAGAAAAAGGGATCAACCCTTACTGGATATGTAACAGTTATGTGACTCATCATCATAGTCTTCCTTGTGTGACTGAGGATTTTATATGCAGTTCACTGGTTCACTTTTGTAATTTTACACAGTTCACTATGCTTGAAGAATCGAAAGATGGCTACAACAGGAATAGCAATTTACAGAGGTTTTGTCTTGAATTGATTCGTTGTCTTTCCCAACCGGCTAAACTTGAAAAATACTGACTACGGTTTATTTGTGTATCGTTTTTGTCATCTAATTCAAAGCTCGAGAGCTGGGATACAAAGCTGATGGATGAGCTTCAGCGTAGAAATCCTTCAAGATTGATATGCAGCAAGTGATTAAAGCCTCCTTAAGATTTTCTTTACAAGGTGAAATCTGCCATATTCTTGTAAGGGAATCAATCACTGTGCTTGACATTTTTCTATCTACCAACTGGAATATTTGTGAGATGTATGTAGTAAGCACTCAATTATCTGAATTCTGAAGCACTCCAAATCATAACGGATCGTTCTATTGAAGAATGTCAACTAAAGATACAAGTTTTGAAGCAAAAATATTATATCTACTCGAGAGAGTTTTTTGGTGCTTAGGCTCTTGCTCAAGTGTGGCAAGAACTTCAGTCCAGAATGTTTCATGGATTCTAAAATTTAAGGGACGTATGTAATACAACAATTTATTGATTCTGTTGCAATGCATACTAGCTAACCTGTTGCGAGATAAGGACGAGAAGCCCTTTCGGCCCGAGCAAGATCTCATTAAGGAAACTAACCAACCCAAACCACAATACAGGGGTTACATCCACACCTCCAAGAGGGGGAATCACCTTCCGGGTTGACATAAGGAGGGGTACAGTGGGAGCATAAGCAATGACATAAGGAAATTTATCCACAGGAAGCTTAGGGTACCAATACATAACTATTCTGATTATAAATAGAAAGGCAAATGCGGAGAGGAAGGGCCCTAAAATACCAATTGCGAGTTCAGCTGAGGCAGGGTCCAAATCAGCCACTAGCAATCCCCGGCGAAACTCCGAGGTAACTTGTGGAGGGTTGAGGTTGGATGGCAAGAGTTCAATTCCAGATATGTAGGGTACCTTGGATTGAAAGAGCTCAATTGCAGGAAATTTAACCACCAAAATTAGATTCTATTTATATATGCTGAACCATTACTGAATAATCAGGGTTGGCACTTACAGTGAAAGCAGATTTCTTGCTCTTCAATGTCAGAGGAGGTCGTACAGATCCTGAAACAGAAAAGAAAATTAATGAAGATAGAAGAAGAATTTCCCTATAACTAAAGGGAGGGTAGAGAGCCCCTTTAATGGGGACGCCATTTAAAAGGCATTTAAAAGGTGAGAAGACGTCGCCATTGGAGAGTAGACAGCAGGGAACGTTATCCAGTCCTTTTATCGGGTTGACTTGTTAAAACTATGGGTTTGGGCCTGGTTGGTTTAAAAAGGTAAGGCTTCTAGATTTAGTCTGTCTTGTTTAAGAAATTGATTTGAACCTCTTGAAGCTGGGAACATGAAATGAATCCTGAACAATCTCAGCACTGCCACAAATACCAGGCACCACCTCCTCTCCCTCTTTAGCTTCTTTATATAGCGACAGTTTCATTATGTAAAGAAAAAAAGAATGGATGCATTCGCTTTGTGACAACCAAATACTGGTAAAAGGCATTCAGTTGTTAATCCCAACATTAAAACCAAACCACTTATATTCCCTTAATTCAGAATACATGATATTCAAGCAATTGGACTACTCTTACAACACAAACTACTTGTTTAAACTCTCCAACATAAAATGGGATGTGATTTCATTGCTGCTGTTAAGAGTGAGAACAATAACAATAAAAGGAAGCCCAAAACAATATAACTCAAACTGCAGCTGGGTTACATTACATTATATTAAAGGTAGGTTCTCCGAGTCAAAAGCAGCTGCTCAACTCAACTCATAATTTCAAATCCCCCTCAGTGTAGATAATAGAGCCTTTTACCCATAAAAAAAAACCAAGCACATCCCCCAAGCAGCAGTTTCAATCCCAAGTTTTCTTCTATCTCTGCATTGGTGAACAAACACCTCATCAATTTACTTGATAATAATATATTTGCACAACCCACAGTATAGTTTATTAAAACAAATGAAATAAAACAAGATTGAAATAACATACATGTACAGGGTATACAAGCAACACATCAATGTCCAAAACAAATATCCCAGGCTCTCCCAAAGATATTGAGGATCTTCCTATGCATTAGAATTAGCTGGAAGATCGTCCTTCCACCCTTTAGAAAGTAGTTCATAGTTAATTGATGCCAGCTGGGACAGATTCTACCAAACCACATCGATCAACAGTGTCAGGATCAAGAAAACAAACAAATTACTATAACCGTCAAGCAATATGTCCCAATCAAACATTGACAAAAATCATCGAGCTATTTCAAATCAACACCATTACTACAATGACATGTTGCAGAAAAGGATATGTTGTTGCTTACAAAATTTCATGAGTTCTGCAAACCAAGTATTCTTATATTTATGTATACACAACTTGTATGGATGAAGGCAAGATTGGTATAATAAAAGACCAAAAAGGAGGGGGTAAATTATTTTTGTAAAAAGCAAACTAATGCACTTATATTCAAACTGAAAGAAATACCCGATGCAATTACAAGGTCAAAGAATACCTTAAATGAGAAATTACTGAAAGAATAATTGACAGATGAACCGGACTCAAATTCAGCAAGACCTCCAAATTCATCTCCCTGCTTCATTTGTGTCCAACAGACCAACAGAGTCAAAAACAGAAATCATTGATAATCATAATCATCACTTAAGAAATTGCACATTTCTGGGGCTAAAATACCACTTCCTCTTGGCGGTTGCTCAGGCAACTACTACTACCGCTTAAGCTGTCAGCATCACTTGAATCATCAAATTCACTACCTGGATATGCATGCTCATTTGAAGTATTCCATGAGTAACGACTTGTAAAGTAACTAGTATCAAGCGCACTCTCTGAACTGGGAACAAAGGCAGCCTGTAAAATGTGGGAAGCAAGGTGAGTAAATGGAAGACACTTGAAAACAATAACATGGCTCACCTTCTGCCTTGCAAGTGTGTCCCAATTGATATCTTTGAAAAATACATGTTGCTTCACCTGGTTAAAAATTTCATTGTTCATTAATCAAACATCTAAGACAGACAATTAAGAAAAGCGTGCACCCAGAAGTATAAAGAAAAGGAACACGAAACAACCAAAGGTTGTACTTGTATTAAGAATAAATATCACCTCGGATGCTCCTCTGGATCCAAGTCTCTGTTGAGGATCTTCAGTCAACAGTCTGAAAATGGAGTACATATTAAAATTTAATTCCATACTAAGGCACTTGAACCAAGAAAAATATTAAAACAAAAAAAAGAGCATTACAATAACTAAGATTCTTCTTGGGATACTTAAATTTGATAAAGGTGATTCTGAAGAAACCTTGATTAAACATCTCAAAGCAGAGTATATCTTATTGAGAAAATATTAAAGTTAAGGATATCACTATCATTTTGCCAACGACCTATAACACTCAACGTCTTTTTTCTTTCTATTTTTTCTTTTTAATATAAAACAAACATTAATGGTGTTATATACAAAGGATACTTTACATATGAAGATGTGAAAACACTGTAAGATCTACATACCTCGATGTTCTAGAATGTTTTTTCACTTTTTTGACGAGGAGATAATTAGATTACACATACAATTAACAAAGTACATGGATTTATTTTTTCAATCTATAGGACTGAAACCTCTCTTAAGCAAAGTCATAAAGCAAATACAGAACCGTTAACTCTGCAAACCATGAATGCTCCGTAGAATATTTCCTTGAACTCAAAAAAATTATGTCCATCAAATAATGTAACAAGAAATCACTTGGGGTAGTGCTTTTTTGCATTACAACTGTAATTTATTTCAAGATGAATGATGAATCCAATTCTCATGAAATGCCAATGACATCAACAAATAGTTTTCTTACCCATCAATTAGATCTTTTGCTTCCAGGCTTATTTCTTCTGGTGCCCGTGGCCAAGGTATTTTACGGTTGAGAATATTATCAAATATTATCTAGAACCAAAATATGAAAGAGAATGAATGTAAGAATGAGAACTAATTTAAAATGCAATTTCAAAGTCAGTGGCCCAGTAATAATTTAGAAGCACTCCAACAGTAACAATCTACAAAAACTTGAAAGAAACCCATCAAATGGCATCATCATTAGAGTATCCAAACCAAATGATTATCTTTTCTTTCTAAGAAGTATCATGTTTCCCGTACGTCTCAAGTCAAGAGTCCCAAAACTAACTGAAAAGTAATGGGTAAGTCTAACATGATAGCCATGCAGTTTTCACTCAATCAAACAAAAGATACACCTTTTTTTTAATAAGAATTGAAGGCCTCATTAAAAAACCCCTTCATGATTAATGAAACTCAAAATGATTTCCTTAATCAGAGGAAGGAAGAAAAGAGTGCCTTATACTTCTTTTTTGATAAGTTTTGCAGGCCTCGTTAAAAACCTCCTTGATTAATGGAGCTTTTATGGAAGCTCCTTAATCAGCGGAAGGAGGAAAAGAGTGCCTTATACTTCATTAATAGGAATAGATACATAAGATTTAAAACAACATAAAAAACCCTTACAAAGAACCCGAATACCCAACCTAAAATACCCCTAAAAACCACACTGTAATTAGCCAATACCAGCCTTAGCTAGTGCATCTGCCTCCATATTGGCTGTCCTAGTAACCCATCTAATTATACCCTCCAATTCTCTCAGACTTTCAGCTATATCCCTGATAATTAAGACATACATCTCAGAAGAAATAACACCATTCTTAACCCAATCTACTGCCATTTTACAATCAGTTTCAATAATCAACCGACCGTTAATACTTTCTTTCATTGAATCAAAAAAAGATAATCCCTTCTGAATAGCCCTTAGCTCCATCATAGTAGGAGGACCCGGACCTGAAGTCTCCTTGAAAGAACCTAGAAACAGACCAGCATCATCTCTAAGAATACCAGCAAATACACCTTGATTGTCCAATATTCTAGAAAAGAACCATTGTACTCCCCATACTGTTTCAGCAGTTCATAACACTGCCACAAAAACATCTGAATTTGATGGCTTATGTCTTCCAATTCATGCATTACCAATTTACCACAATGAAATTATGAAGGTAAAACATCATTGAGCGTTGTCATTGAATGCCAATCAAAGAAATGATTGAGTTTGAGAAGGATAAAAGGGAGCGGTACTGGCAAGAACTAGAACTCATAGAATAAAGATATTACCTGTGGATGCTCTGCATTGAAGGGTGGAATTCCAACAATCATTTCAAATAAAATGACACCTACGGACCACCAATCTGCTGTTGCACCTGAGAAAATTTGGATGGTGTTATGAGCTTGCTACTTTAGAACATATGCAAATACTAACCAAATACAAACAAAGAATTAGAACTTATTCAGCTACCATGGATTTTGAGCTAATTATAACCAGGATATCAGTCATAAAATCAATTAATCAACCAAATAACTACAATCTATATTGCTTAAGCATATGGTATATACAAAATTTCAGGTTGACCAAATTAATCAAACTTGATCTTTAAGGCACACAGGCAACGAAAAGATAATTAGAGCACCTTACACTAAAAAAAGGTTATACGAACCATGTCCTGTTCCCAAAAGAATCTCAGGCGCCAAATAGTCAGGTGTACCAACAGCAGAACGTTTCTTCCGCCTCTTGTGCTGATGCTCAGATGCACATAACTGAGGCTGCTCATCATCAAGTAGAGATGTTCCGCTAACTGCTGGACCAGACAAGTCATCAGTACTGTTGATGAGACCAACCTTTGATAGCCCAAAATCTGTCAACTGCTCAAATGAAAAAAAAAAATTATAAGTTTTAAATGGTCTATATAAATAAATTAGGTACTGAATAAATAATTTCAACATCACATTCTTTCTAAGGTATATTCATTTTGCTTAACATAGGTCATCCCCCGACTCTCAACTAAATCACATCCGACCTTCAATATGATGTGGTCTTTTCCCCAACTAAGCCAATAGTATAGAAGCCACACTTCATCTTTAGAAGTACTGAAGACTGACCAAGTGACAAAGCAATGTACATCTTATATTCGTCAAAACAACGGAAACAATATCATATGAACAGTTACCTTGATATGACCATCATGTGCAATCAACAAATTATCAGGCTTCAAATCACGATGAACCACGTGCAAAGAATGTAAATACTCCAAGGCGAGTACCTATAAAAATATGTATATATTTATACAACTGAAAAGAAGAATTCAACTAACATAAGAAAAGGCATATACTCCTTGTAAAAAATGAATCTAAAACTTACAAGTTCTGCAATGTATACACGGGCAACCTCTTCATCCAAACAGCCTAAATTTCTCAACAATGAATATAAATCACCTCCATTTAAATATTCCATCACAAGATACAAGTTCTCACGGCATGTAAATGAATAGAAGAAGCGAACCTGATACAGCACATAGTTGTAAGAATAACATATCAAGTTCTCAAGAACCGTAAATTCTTGGCAAGTTAGACCTGCTCACCACAAATGGGTTGCGGACTGAAATCAAAATGTCACGCTCTGCTAATATACTTTCAACTGCATTCTTGCGAATCATATCTGCCTTCTTTAGCACCTGTACAAACAACATAAACGTAATTTTAACTGAAACTAACTCCACGTGACCTCTCGATCACAAGCTAACAGAAAAAAATTATAAAAAGCATATAAGATAAAACATGATACAGCAGAAAATAAAGAGGGGAATCACTGTAAGAACCAAAAGGGAAATGCCCTAAACATAAAAAAGACTTATAGGGAACAAATACAATCTAAAATAAAATAATAAAATAAACTATAAATAACTAAATGTTATATTATTAGTAAAAAGGATCTTAGGGAAAGAAAATCAAACTCTGGAACCTTTATTGCAAAAAGATCCCCTGTTGTCCTCTTTTTTGCTAAGAAAACGCGCCCAAATGCTCCACGGCTAATTGGTTTTATTATCTCAAAGTCATCTATGGAGGTACGGTCCTTAGATGAATGAATGGGGCTAGTTCTCAAACTACGAACCACATCGTCCTCTAAAGGAGCATCCTCATCAATGGCAGTGCTTGTTATATCAACCTTTTCATCCTCGACTAGCTCACAAAACTGCAAGTACTTCTCCCTAAAATAGAAAAGCAAAACAAACTCGACTAGAACCTTTTGCTCAAGGTTCATGCATTGCGTTTTTACAATATAAATCTAAAAAATAAGCAGCAGTAACAAAATTACCTTATAAGCTTCTCAATGCGTGCACCAAATGTTTCTACTGTGAGTGCATCAAATTTTCTGCGATCTATGACAAGTCTCAAGTCTTCAAGACAAGTCAGCAAATATGGCACCGAACGATCATCAACGGATGGTGTATTTGCTACACATCTGGCAATATCAGCAAGTTCATTCATCTGCATGATCAGGAAGGAATTAAAACTTGGCATAGCCTAAGATTGTACTCTCAATTGGATCTTAAAAAGCAACACCTCAGGGCCACAAAAATCCATTTTTCAAAGCAGATATATAATGCATCTGCAATGATGGAGTGGCTCCTATACATTCTCTGTATAAGCAACTATTTCGCAGTCTACTGCAGGTGCATGCCAGCCTTGTATTTACAACAAGTAACTGGAAACAGATTTCAAAATCACAACACAAAAGAGAGAGAAAGTAAAATAACATTGCATTTCATATGATGAAAATCAAAACAACCAGAATGAAGAAGACAAAACGAGAGAAGAGCTGGATATGGAGGAAAAGTTAAAGGAAAAAACAATGAAATTAGAAGCAAGTATAAAAGAAAATACAGGTGCGCTGCAAATATAACAGTACATAGAAACCAAAGCACCTCTTTCTGAAATAAAAACTGGAAAAAGAATACCTGTGGGAGATCTTCTTGCTCAGAAAAGGTACCCTTGCCTGACACTAACAAGTCTGTCTGACTATTTTTTGGTGTCAATAAAGGGGATCTAGGAGTCATGCTTCCAGCAGATGATGTTGTCATTCCTTGATCAGATTTCGGACCAAAGCGAGTTTTACATGACATTGATGGAAAACCCTTAAGGTCATCCATAAGAACTGAATTATCCACTTCCGGAAAACAATCAAGCATGTCTTCTGAACCTCTCCTGGACCGGTCACTTAGTTTAGGAGATAGAACATCAGATTCCTCAGTCACACTCGAATTTGATATTTTAGCAACATCTGGGCTCCCTGAGTGTTGTGTATCCTTATTAGCAAATAAGTCTGTCATCTTTTCAAGCATTTCAGCAATTCTTACAAGACGTTCATCAACACTTAAGCCCTTCTGATCGCAACAATCAGCAACAGCACATATTCTTGAGTGATCTTCCACTTTTGAGGTGGGAACCTCCTCCTCACAAATGCGACATATTATAGAATTTTCTTCAGAAACAGTCGGTTGGTCTCCCCAATAACCCCAAGAAATTTTGTGCTGATGCTTAGAAGAATGTTCTTGAGATTCTTTTGCAGGAGGAGGCTCCTGAAGCTTAACAGCAGTCAGATCTACATCAGAAGCTCCTGTTTTTTTCCAGGTTTCAACCATACTATTATTCTGCTCCTTGGAAGCAGTTACTTCCTTTGGACTTTTTTTGGCAGGAGAAGGGAGTTTCTTCCAGGAAGTTATCCTATCTCTGCTTGCAGAAGATTCAATGTTCTTTTCAGTCTCGTCAATGGGAGCGATCAAACTTCCTGGCAGTACAACATGGTCCTTCCTCCAATCTAAGGCATGTTGCTCCTGACTATAAGATTTCTTAGATGAGGAGGCTTTTGAAGCCTTTGACGCACTCAAACTTTTAGCTTCTCTTAGGAGCCCTGAGGAAGTTCTCTTGTCTGCAGGATGCAGGAGTCTAGATTGGCGAAGCTGTATCACCGGTTCATCCTCGGCCAGCCCACTTTCTTTGTGGAACTGCAACAATCTTGTACACCTTGTGAGAATGAAAAGCATCCGAGTATACAGCTGCTTCAGCATTCCTGGAGGAAGTTCCTGACGCTTATCATCTAGCTCCTGAACAATGCCTTCACACTGAAGCCAAAACTCTCCAGGTGGTGCTATAGCACAGCTTCGAGCCAGAACCAGTAAATCCTCAATAGTTTCCTGCCACTCGGGATGACTTTCAGAATTTTTTTCGAGAATTCCAACCAGATCTGCGGCAAAAATAGCCAAATCAGAGTTCACTTCCTCTTTTGCTTTTTCAAATTTTGCCCGAATGACAACCACAATTTCCTGCATAAAACAGAAATCTAGTTAAGAATATAAACTGCAAGAAACTAGGAAACAAGAAATAGGATATAAGTACCTCCAAGTTGTTTAAGCGTTTAGGTTTCCAAAATGGGAAAGGCCGCACTCCTTTCGAATTTAATTCATGGGAAAAGCTCTTAATATCAGCAGGAAACCTCTTTTGAGGCCCACTTGTAAGACGAAGAATAGCTTGAAAACGGGGGGATTCAGACTCCTTGGAGTTTTCACAGTCATATGAAGTCTGCAAAAGAAAATATTCTAATAATCAATAACACTATCACAAGTTGAAAGTTAAAAAATGCAAATAAAGAACGGTTTCCAAGTAGTAAGTGAAAGGAGAGGATGAATGAAAATACAATTGTACCTCTGGTGTACGAAAATCAGAACTTTTTAAGCCTCCAGAGTGGCCCCATGGTGATTCGTGTCGCCCTGGTAATAATATTCAAGCCAGCAAAAGGAACTTTTGAGAGAAAAACATAACAAATCGCCAAAAATCCTTCAGGCAATGGAACCTTTTCTACATTAACCAGCATGCCAAATAAAGCAGTATTTTACACCCTATAAGTGTTCTAAATAGGAAGTGCTCACCTGATCAGAACAGAAAGGGCAGAGAAATGGAGAAAATGCATAGGAGAGAAATTTTGCACCTCAACATATATATAAAGGCATCCCATGTTAGGATCAGACATGCTTTCATATCAAATGAAGATCTATAAACATGATAGTTCTGTACACCATTGACTACAGAATGCATGAAAGATACAAGATATGTAAGATAATATCATATCTTATAAATTAATTAGATTTAGATTGAAGAACTTATAATTACTTACAAAAAGAAATTTTAAAACAATAGTGAGTGCATAAAGTCCATGCATCAAAATGAAAAAAACAAACAATTAGTAGTAATATAAGTGTTAAACTGATGTTATCCCACATTGGTGTCATATATTCAACTTGAACCTCTCCACACATTTCCAATTGTTTAAAGTTAGGTTTTTAATAGAGTGACAAAACTCAGGCTCTATTCTATTGTTATAGCATGTTGCAATGCCTGTTACCCCTTTCGAGTTTGTCACGTGACAGGAACCTTTGTCTCGGCCTACATGTAATGAGTCTTTTTTTTTTAAATAAGGTGGTTGTTATTCTTCACCGGTGTCCTATATATAATAAAGTTGGGGTTTTCCACCTATTTCCAATTGGATTTAAATCAGATTTTAACAATAAGCAGCATATTTTGATTTCATAATATTAGTTTGATTTCTTAACCTTTGGATTTATTTCATCATCGGTAGCATGACTTTAAGACTTGTAGAGTTTGATTTCTTAAGTTTTCTCAGGTTTGATCTGGCTTTTTGTCAAATCAAGTTTTGACTTCTCACTTTTGACAGGTTTTGGTAGGTATATTACAATTTTAGTGCAGGTTTTCGAGTTCTTTTGCCACCTCTAATGATATCTACAAAGTACGAACTGAAGTGAACATATCATGCAATCATACAAATCCATTTTCAAATCTATAAATGCCTTTGTTTCCCTCAGAATTCACCAAAAATTTAAGGAATAATAATGCCGAGCATAAATAAAACTTAACAGAAAACATTTAAGCATATACTTTTTTCCATTTCGAACTCTGACAGCTCAAGTAATTGCATAATCTCAGATTATTTCTTAAAAAACTAACAAAAACTTGATTCTGGATTTTTCCTTTTTTCTCATTTGCCAGCTACGTGTGAACTGCTAACTATCCAAGAACTCTCAAGGCACAGGTATGATAAAAGTAAGTCTTATAACCTAATCTACTCTGTCTTTTATACAGGTTTTCAGATCAATGACCTAAATAGGCCTACCTTTTTATCAAAAAAAAAAAAAGAAAGATCAATGACCTAAATAACGCAACTTCTTTGTTTCACATGTCGTTGTCCCTTCTCTTATCAAAAAGGGAGAGGGAGAGCAATTCTAACTTTTTTTTTTCTTTTAGAAATCTTTATTAAAATGCTGAATAAAATTCTTAAATCTTGTGACAAATTTACGGCTCGTGGCAAATTGAAGCTTCCTTGACGTTCTACCTAGCTTTTCAGTTATACCTATATGATGGCCAAAGCCAAAAAGCTCAGAGATGTAACCCAAATCTACTGGGGAATCCGAAACGGTTAAGTGGCATAAACAGACCAGCTCTTCTCTTGTCCTCAGTGGTTAGGTGCTTATCACCAAATTTTGACAAGGTTCGAACGTTGGGAAGCAAAAGATTGTTTTGAGAATTCTATTCAGCAACCAATCACTAAATAACGAAATCCAAAACCAAAGCCCCAGAATGAAGTAAGCAAAGAAACAATAACAACGAAACAATAGTACGGCCACCAAAGTATCATCAAAGGCACAATGGAAAGACAAATATTCCAGATAAAAAAAAAAGCACAGTAATGAGTCAAAGCAAGATCAGTACCAGCTCCGGAGGATGATTCCCCATTCTGCAACTGGGACTTCCCTTGTACACTAGGGCTCTGCTCTCTAGAGTGCCATCCAGCACCAGCACTTCCAGTTGACATACTATCCGAATTGCTCGCGTAGTCAAGCAAAGTTTCTTGCAGTAACCTCTGGTTCAACACATCTTTCTTCCCGGAGTTAGCACTGTCCCCAGAGCTAGTTGAACCCCCCGGCCTGGACAAGTTACTAGCTCCAAGCACTGAAGCAGAGGCACTTTTCTCCCCTCTGAAACTGAAAAAACTCTCCTGGGGCAAGGGACCGGATCGGGTCTTAATCCGATTCAAGCCCAAGGAAGAGGCCAGCAGAGGGGAGACGGAAGAAGGCCCGTCCTTGGTCTTGGGGGTAGAAAAGGAGGGCTTAGCAGTAGCAGCAGGGGTTTGGGGTTCTTTGGGTTTGACTTGGATTTTCCTGGGACTGAAAGAGGAGGGTGGATTGGGGATCTGTTGGGAATCAGAGGTGGTGAGTGAAGCTTTGGGTTTTTTCTTGTCGGATCGGATCGGGGAATTGGAAGCGGAACGAGGGCTGTTGGATCCATCGGGACTAGAAGAAGCCGATTTCTTAGAAGAGAAGAATAGCTTGTTCTTGAACACCATTTCGTCGTCTTTCCTATAGCATAAGGAAGGAAGGATGAAGGGCAAAACCGCCGCTAAATGATTCCTCCTTCAACTCCAGCCATTTTCTTTCATGAAGAAGAAAAATAAGCTTAGTTCGTAGTTGGAAGAAAAGAGGAAAGCGTTGAAGCTGAACACGTGAGAAATTGTTCAAAGTAATTAAGTATTTGGAGTGATTGGGCTTGGGAGCTCGAAACCGAAACTGGGAAGACGAGACTGCGACTCCCACCCCAACTGTGGATATGCACTCACCCAAAGGCCTTCAACATTATTTGTACAACTAATATTTTAGATTTAGATTTAGATTTAGATTTAAAATATTTTATTACAATCCATTTGATTAATTTAAATCATTAAGTTATTTAAAATATTTAATAAAAAATAAATTTGATTATTTTATTGTTTAAAAATTTATATCATACATTTTCATTTTCTATAATTTCACCCTTATATTCAATTTTCTCGTATTAATAATTTTATTGTTAATTTAAAATCTTAATGTACTTGATAATGATAAGATTTCATTTGATTTTTTTTATAAATTGTAAATTTAATTTTAATTTAGACGGAGGAGAGATAAGAGAGGGACTCTAGGAAAATAAAAAAAAGTATTTTTAATGAATCTATAACTTATAACTTCAAAGAATATATAAAAAAATAAAATAAGCAATTTACATGACGAGGAAGTGGTAATAGATACATAGAGTAAATTGTTTTATTAGGCTGCTTTTTTCCGTTAAAAAAATGAGCAATTTAATCAATCAACTAAATATGTTTGTTTAATTTCATTTGATTGTCAAATTTAAACTAAATTATTAATAAGTATTTCAAACATTGAAATACAGTGACGGAGTTAAAACATGTATTTTCAAAATATTTTGAAACAGTCCAATATGGTGATGTTAATTAAGAACACCGTGATAAAATAAATAGAAGAAATCAAAATTGTGATAAAATTTAATATCATAATTTTAACGGTACAATACATAAATAGTCCATATGTTTTATTAAGTTTTTACTATTACAAGTTATAAAATAGTCTTCCAATTATAGAATGTTACTTTGTTGAATCCTTCTACTATTAAAAGTTACAAAATGGTATTTGACTATTCATTATATTTCAAACTCATCATTTTTCGTTACAAATAAATAATATTTTAAGTTGAACGTTAATTTATTATTTGTAATACGATAAAATATGATCCAATAATCTCAAGCGACTATCATGTCTCAATCGTCATGTTAAAGTCCATGTTAAAAATTGTAAATTTTCTAACAAAAAAATATGAATTTGGAACATAATGAATAATAGGGTGATCGTTTTGTAACTTTTTATAATCAAATGACTTAACAAAGAAACATTCTATAATTGAAGGATCATCTTTTTAATTTTTAATAATCGATGGACTTAATAAAATAATAATCTATAGTTAGAGGACTATGTTAGTAGTTTACTCTAATTTTAAAAGGTAAGAATATAGCGAGGAAAGAGCAAGAACGGTGAGCTCCATCACTAGTTCCATGGACCTTTTTCATCAGCCAAAACATCACCGTTTTAAATTTGATTAAAATATGGGCCACCCCCCATTTCATTGTCATCACCAAGGGTCTTATTCACTTGCATTAGCTTTCAGATTCTCAAGTAAAAAAAGCTTAGAAAGGGAGAGTAATATATTTGAAGTCTGAAGGCTACCGTGATGGATGCTTCAAAGGTAGCAGACTTAAAGCTATTTGTTGATCAGTGCAAATCAAACCCTTCAATTATCCACACTCCACCTCTTTCCTTCTTCAAGTCTTATCTACAAAGGTAATTATTTTCCAGGTCATATACATATATATTCCCTTTGCTTTTCTGATTCGTTGATGTGGAGTTACATGTTTTGATTTCTTTTTTTTTTTTTTGATAAAGTCTGGGAGCTCAAATTCCAGCAGACCCACAGCCGGTAAGATTCAGCTCATTTACTAAAGGTTTGATTTTTGTAGCTAAAGTTGATTGTTTCTTTAATTATCTTTATCCAAGAAGTGTTTATTTAATTAGGATTTACCTTTTTTTAGTACCGAGTCTGTTTCTTTGCATCGAGCTGTTCTTGGAAGTTAATCCTTTTGTAGCAGTACTGATTGTGAAATTTTCATTTAGATCTGTCTTTTATGCCAATTTTGCAGGATAGAGGCGGTGCTAAAATGACGGAGCCCGAGCAAAACCCTGGTGCCAATAAACCCTTCTCTTCAAATGAAGATGATGATGATATTGTTGAGTCTGACGTCGAGTTAGATAACAGCGGTGTTGTGGAACCTGACAACAATCCTCCCCAAAAAGTTTGTGATCATTCATTTCTCGCTTATATCTGTTGCATTTGTATTTCAGTTAAGTGAATTGTGATAAACTTACATTCTAAACTAGTAAATATTATGTCTTTACTTAATTCAGATGGGAGACCCTTCATTTGAAGTTACGGAGGAAAAGCGGGATGCTGCTCAAGCGGAAAAATTAAAAGCTAACGATGCAATATCTGAAGGCATACTGCACCTTTCAAATTGATTTGTTTTTGGCCTTCTCGTTACAAATTCTAAGTTTCTTTCCCCCTTCAGGTAAGCTGGACGAAGCAATAGATTATCTAACAGAAGCTATCATGCTGAATCCCACTTCAGCTATATTATATGCAACTAGAGGTAATTTGCTTAAAGCATAATTTATCATCTTCTGTAAAAGTACTTTTTCTCTCTTAAACATCTGATATGCTTGTTTTCAGCAAGTGTGTTTGTTAAATCGAGCCAACCAAATGCTGCAATCCGTGATGCCGATGCAGCTGTAAAGGTACCATTCCGACTTCCCTTGGTGCTTGCTTATCTTAACTAAAGATTTTAAGTTTTCATCTTATATTTGCCTGGCATCAAGCTGATGATTTGAAGTTAACTTTATATGCTTAGATCAATCCTGACTCAGCAAAAGGATATAAAGTTCGAGGGATGGCGAGGGCCATGCTAGGCCAATGGGAAGAAGCAGCAAGTGATCTGCATGTAGCATCAAAGTTAGATTATGATGAGGAGATTGGTTCAGTACTTAAAAAGGTAAAATTTCTGTTCTTTGATTAGTCTTCTTCTACAAATGCTTTCTCATGGTAACCCTTCAATTTGCAGGTGGAACCTAATGCACACAAAATTGAAGAGCATCGCAGAAAATATGAACAACTGCGGAAAGAAAGGGAATTAATCAGGAGTGAACGACAGAGGCAACAGCAGAAAGCTGAGGCACAAGTAAGTTTAATTAATTAATTTGATCATGTCATTATATTCCATAAAACTTATCACTCTATTTTGGTGCATAAACTTTGGCATGGGCTCATTATGATTAAACAATGAATATCTTATTAAAATAAAGTTTAGGATGCACCTGCCAACTTAAGCCCAAGTTATTTTCTATTTTCTTTGTCTTGAAGGGATCACTTCATTAAAGTAATTAGTTATCCAATCAAGAACTGGGATGTTTTTAGTGCATTCGGATGTGGTCAGTACAAGTTGATTCACTGATGAAGAATATCTTGCACTGATGTTGTTAGATATGGTTAGAGGGGAAGCTTATGATGTTTAGCTTTCATTGTTTGTGTGGTTGTAGGGGATATAGATGTCAAATAAATTAATAGTATATTATCAACCAATTATTCTCATCCATTTTTAACCTTTTGGTCTGTCATGTATAAATGGGTCGCTGCATTTATTCTGAAACTTAATTATCTTTGAATTTGTGCAGGATCAGGAAGCATTATCTGCTTTCAAAGATGGTACGTATAGTTTTCTTTTTTCATTCATTTTTTCTTATGTAAATGATTTATATAGGCCTTAATTGAGTCACTCTTTAGAGAGAATGTTATCTTTGATGAACTGAGACTACCTAATGTCTTAGAGAGGGCTGCTCCTGCATCTAAAAGATGCTTATGTTTCTCGTAGGAATCCCTTGGAAATGCGCTAAAATTTTTGCTACTCTTTGTATGATGTGAAGTGGTCTCTGCTGTAGTTATCCTGGTTCACCATGATTGTCACTTGATGCTTATAATGCAATATGTTTAATAACACATCAATAGCTTGGTTCTAGGTGTCCATGCTGATATTTTTATAGTTGCTTTTAGACAATTTCAGACTTTTGTTGGTAAGGAACTTGTGGATAGATGGAAAGAGTCCATACTGCCGACCATTAAGATCATTAATTTTGTGTGTGAATTATGTTACATTAGTCATGGGGCGAAATCCATTTATGTTGCCTTGCTATTGTTTCGAAATTACAGGGCAGGTTATTGGCATTCATTCCACAAGTGAGCTGGACACTAAGTTAAATGCTGCTACAAGAACATCTCGCCTGGTGATATTGTACTTCACAGCAACATGGTGTGGCCCCTGCCGCTTCATATCTCCACTTTATACGAGCTTAGCTGCAAAATATGCAAAAGTAGTTTTCTTAAAAGTAGATATAGATGAGGGGCAGGACGTAGCAGCCCGTTGGAACATTAGCAGTGTCCCAACCTTTTTCTTTATAAGAAATGGGAAGGAAGTTGATAAGGTAGTAGGGGCTGATAAAAGTACACTTGAAAGAAAGATCGCCCAGTATGCAAGCTGAATGAAAGGAAGGTAGGCTCCAGCCATTCGTAATGGCCTTTTCTTATATGTTGGAACACAACAATAATGCCAAGACTTGGCAATACCTTAGGAAAACTGTACCATATTTAAGTGAGCTGGGCATTTCCTTGGAACTTTTTCTTAGCTATAAAAGCATAATGATTTATGTTTGATGGACTATTTCAGAATTGCAGGACCTTTTAGCAAATAATGTACACATAATATGCAATTGAAGAGCCCAACCTAAAGCATCCATTAAACAAACAGCTGAACAATGTTACAAATGAATGTAAAAAAGTAGCAATTTTACTAGTAAAGTGTTGAATTTATATTACTAGTATCAAGTTTTCGTCAACAATTCCATTTACGTGACCAATATGTACATCATATTTCGATTATTTAGTGAATAATAGTGTTAAATAATTAAAGAAATTAGAGGGGGCTGAGATGTCGAGAAGTTATTGGGTGAATGAACGTGGCGAAATGGATCAAAGCTTTTCTCTTTCTCTTTCTATATGGAATGGAATGGATCTGAGTCATCATCTTCCAAAGGTAATTCATTAGAGTGAAATTTCTCCTCCGACAAATACTGACTGTTTCCGACAAACATGAGGGTGTATCCTCCTCCACCTCCTCCCAGGTCAAGCTACCATCTATTCATCTTCCTCCTACTCCTCTCTCTTTTCCCTCTTTCCCTCCTCGCCCGCCCTTTCGTTCTCGTCCTCTCCCAGGACGACCTAAAGGACGTCCAAAACGACGACGCTTCCCCCCTGGAATCCGACTCTTCCTGGGACGACGACGACTTCGGAGGTACTCATGTCAAGTCTGACGACGAGCTTGATCCCGGTTCATGGCGCCGACTCTTCGAGCCCTCTACCTCCCCCGTCTCCCCCTCCCTCGACGCCTACTACACTGCCGTTGATAAGATGATCTCCGCTTCCACTCACGGTGACTCCAGGTTGATGGAGGAATCCGCGGCGGAGATTGAGGCGGCTGCTAACACGGAAGGTGATCCTCATGCGCGTTCGGTTCTAGGCTTTCTGTACGGGATGGGGATAACGCGTGAGAGAAACAAAGCTAAAAACTTTTTGAATCATTATTTCGCTGCCGAAGGTGGCAATGCCCAATCCAAGATGGCTTTGGCTTACACATACTCTCGACAAGATGTAAGCTTTTTTCTGTATTTGATATCCCCTTTTGTGTTTATTTTTAATTTACCTAAACATTTGTTGTTGCATGTGAATTCTCAGATGTATGAAAAAGCTGTTAAACTATATGCTGAATTGGTAGAAATAGCTATTAACAGTTTCCTGATATCCAAAGATTCACCGGTAATCGAACCCATTAGGATACACAATGGGGCAGAGGAGAACAATGAAGCTTTGAAGAAGTCAAGAGGGGAAGACGATGAAGATTTTCAGATATTGGAATATCAAGCACAGAAAGGGAATGCCGGTGCTATGTACAAAATGGGCCTTTTTTACTATTTCGGATTGAGAGGGTTGCGCCGTGATCATTCCAAGGCTTTGATGTGGTTTTTGAAAGCTGTGGATAAAGGGGAGCCCAGGTCTCTCGAACTTCTTGGTGAGATTTATGCTAGAGGAGCTGGAGTTGAAAGGAATTACACCATGGCCCTTGAGTGGCTTTCACTTGCATCCGAACATGGCCTTTATTCAGCTTACAATGGAATGGGTTATTTATATGTTAAAGGGTATGGTGTGGAGAAGAACTACACCAAAGTATGTTCATTTTCTCTTCACTTCCACTAATTTTTCTGCCTTGTTATTCCGTCCCTGCTCTATATCACCGTGCCTCGTCCTTTTTACTTGTTCTGCTGCCTTGATATAGGCATTGCTCTCAGATTACAGGTTCTTAACATATGTTTCAACAATATCCTTCTCATTGCGTGAAAATTTCAGTTCAGTTTTATTTATCATTTTACTCTATGCTGTTTAGACCTATACAGGCTCTGGGTTTTAGTTTCTCACTTTATTGGATGTTTTGAAGTTTGAAACTTAAGGCATGCTATACTGATTCCGATTTCTATTTTATGTTTCTCTTTCATCTATTAGTAATTTAAAGGGATATGATGTGTTGGTTAAAAGTTGCATGCTTCAATTTTTTAGTTATAAATAAGATTGAAAATGGTTATTCATGGATTGTGGATATACATGGCTTTGAGTTTAGGAACGATTTTCCATTTCCGTGGTTGCTGCCTTAGGTGTTGTCTATTCTTTTTTGTAAGACTTGAGGTTACTGGCAATTCAATGGATTTATTCTTTTTTTTTTCTTTAAAAAAACAAAAAACTCTTAACTCGATGGTATTACGTTATGCTTTGCATGTTAAGTACAGAGTATTTTCAGAAACTGATTCTTTCTTTTGTGCAGGCTAAAGAATACTTTGAGAAGGCTGCTGATAATGATGATGCTGGTGGGCACTATAACTTAGGAGTAATGTACCTTAAGGGGATTGGAGTGAAGAAGGACGTAAAGATTGCTTGTAAATGTTTTATTGTGGCAGCCAATGCAGGTCAACCAAAGGCGTTTTATCAGTTGGCTAAGATGTTTCATACCGGTGTTGGGCTTAAAAAGAATCTTCCTATGGTAAATATTATGGTTCATACTTATAGTTCCTTTTTTTTTAAACTTTTCACCTTATGACTTGTGAGTTCTATATCTTTTTTAATAGTATACATGAACTCCATTTTACTTCTGTATTTTTATTTTTTTCTTCTCAAATTTTCTCTCTGGCAAAAGTTTGTTTTTGCTCGCTATATGGTTGTTACCTGTCATGCCAAGAAGTGCCATTCATAGCAGACAAAATTATTTAATCACTTAAGCTGAAAATGTACATGATTAAAGATTTTCCTCCTTTCCCAGGCTACTGCATTATACAAACTAGTTGCCGAACGAGGACCATGGAGTTCCCTCTCTAGATGGGCACTTGAATCATACCTAAAAGGTGACATGGGCAAAGCATTCCTCTTGTACTCTAGGATGGCTGAACTAGGTTACGAGATAGCCCAGAGTAATGCTGCATGGATCCTCGACAAATATGGTGACCGCAGCATGTGCATGGGTGAATCTGGTGTTTGCACTGATGCAGAAAGGCATCAACTAGCTCATTCTTTATGGTGGCAAGCTTCCGAGCAGGGTAACGAACACGCAGCATTACTTATTGGGGATGCATATTACTATGGCCGAGTATGTATCTTTATTGTCTAGTTTTGGGATAATCTTTACTTACTATTGCTTTCTTATTACTTGGTTAAGGTTTTCTGTAACTATTTATTTTCTCTCAGGGAACTGTGAGGGATTATGATCGTGCAGCTGAAGCTTACATACATGCGAAATTCCAATCAAATGCTCAAGCCATGTTCAACCTGGGTTACATGCATGAGCATGGCCAAGGACTTCCATTTGATCTCCATCTTGCCAAGCGGTACTATGATCAGGCGCTAGAGTTGAATCCTGCAGCAAAGTTGCCTGTCAGACTGGCACTCGCAAGCTTGTGGGTACGAAAGAATTATGCTGACAGTTTCCTGGTAAGTTACCCGTTGTGGTATATGTCCTCTTCTTGCCCCTCCCTACCATAGAATGTCTTTAAGATCAAACTCTGTTCTATCTTTAATGCCATTATCTTTTTCCAGTCCTTACACTTGAACACAAGTAGGAACTTTTGGTTCACTGTTTACCATTATTCGTCCTAACTTACATTCCTGTTTTACAAAATGCAACGATTGGTCCTCATTCCGTTAACCACACAAACTTTAGCTGTATAACCAGAGCGTGGCTTAACATCTTCTAGCCCTCTGAGGGCAGCTTGGAAGTGTAAAGATATTGATAATGAATGTAATGCCCTTGACTCTTGATTGGCCCCTTAGCAGTGATCAGAAAGTTCTGCCAAATAAAGTTGATGGATCTCAAAATTATATTTATACCAGTTATTCGGTCTTCTGACTTGTTGCTTTTTGCTGTTCCGATTAGGTCCACATTATCGATTCCCTGCCTGAAGTTTATCCTAGAGTGGAAGCATGGGCGGAGAATGTGATCATGGAGGAAGGGAATGCAACAATATTGACTCTATTTGTCTGTTTACTCACTGTTCTATACCTTCGTGAGCGGCAACGCAGGAATGCTGTGGCTGCTGCTGCAGGGGCTCTCGAGCCTAATGAGCATGTTGTAGCTGCTGCTGGACGCTAGTTGTCAGTTGTGGTAATTCAAGACGTGTTTCCTCATCTGAAAAGCAAGTTAAAACATCCATAGCAAAAATATCCTACATTGTACCATACAGAACATTTGAGCTGAGAAGAATTAACACAAGTTTCGCATATCAAAACATGTATTTAATTCTACTTTCTTGAAGTAATTAATTTGTATACTTCTACTATGAATATTTTACAACCTTCTTTTTGTTTTCGTTCGTCGAATGTCATGCTTTATATGGTATTCCATGCATAATCATATTGCATCTGAAATCTCTACTTAATTGAATGTTAAAACTATTCAAGTGGCTGTCAACCGCCAACTTTTTCCTGAGATTTCTGTTAGCTTGATACTTATCTTAAAAACAATATCTTGTTTGATTGGAAAATTGATTCTTTCACTTGTATGAATTTAAGAAAATAATTCTGCTGAGGCGTAATTAGTAACATGTGGTACCATATCAGATTTCTAACTTGGGTGGATTTTGGCGTTAGAATTATTAATCGTCTAAATTAAATTTGATAATTTTAGATATTTAGCTGCCTGAAATGACTACATCACCGTCAAATCGAAGTGACCGCTTAATTTGTTGCTTTCCAACGTTACTCGAAAACAAATACATATCAATTTTGGAGAAATTGCATCATCCTGCATAAACGTAAACATTTGCACGATACATACTGTAACCACAAAAACATCATGCCCTTAAAATTCAAAACTTTTGCTCTCGATTAGGATCTAAAAATTGGCCAAAGGGAACAACAAATCACTTTCCATTTGTCCTCTTTAAAAATTATATCACACAAAAGCTTCATCTCTTCTCTCCTAAGCTTATTAATTAATTGGACAGTTGAGGTCTCCTCCATATGTGCTCATCATGCTCGTTCGCTGGTTCTTCTGGACGTTCATGTTTGCACTTGGACAAACCTGGTTCCTTCTGAAATTCACGAAATCACTTCTGCAGAGG